CTGCACCTTGTCCCTGCCTGCTCTATATGATTGTGGCAGGATGCCCACCACCCAGCCTGGCCCCCGGACCAGCTCTATATCTGGCTCCAGAGGGCTGTTGGGCCAGAAGCCAGGACAGATACTCAATAAGGAAGCCAGCAGAGAGGCTAACTGGGTTATAATTGGAGAGCAAGAGCTCAGGTATCAAGCACAGCAGGCTATTCTGGACTGAGAGGCACCCCCAGGGGCAGGGGGCAGGAAGTGTGCCAAGAAACTCACGCCTCCACTAGCACCTGGTCTGTCCTGCTGGCCTTGTGGCAGGCTCAGGAAAGGGCTCTCCATAAGGTCTACACCTCCTGCAGAGCTGTGTCACCCTGCTCTTAACCCTCACCTGCCCAAAGAAGCAGCTGTCTGCCTTCTCCTGACAGCTGCCCGTGGGGTGCTGGGGCTGCCAGTCACTGTCCTCTGCGGAGCTGACCCGCATCAGCTCCACGGCCGGCACCAGGACCTGCTCTTGCTCCTGGCCTTGTGCCCCGGAGGCTGTGGTGTGCGTTGGGAGCAGCCTTCGGGTGACCCCCTCCTGCCAGGAGCCCGCTGTCAGGTCCTGTAGGCAGGAGATAAAGGAGCCTTCTGCATTCCAGTCCCTCAGCCTGGGCACCGAGAGGGACAGGGAGAGAGAGACAGAGAGAGAGAGGCAGTCAGCTTTGCCGTGGAGTGCTGCATCCCGAGCACTAGCTGAGCTCCGGCGGGGGCGCCTGCACAGCCTGCAGCCCACCGGGTGCTGCCGGGCGCCGAGCACAAGCAGCACACGACACAGATGCACAAAGGGCTCAGGCCTCCTCCCTGCCATGCTCCCTGCCCACCCCACAGTCTCACGGGCTGGCTGCCAGGGTCTAAGGCAATGCTGTGGAGCATTGCTGGGCTCTGCCATGAACCTCAAGGGACCGGAGCCCTGGGAATGTGGGAGGACGCAGCCCAGGCTGAGGTGGCTCAGGTGAGCACAACCTACATGCAGGGCCTGGCTGTCTGCCTGGGGTCACTCCCAGATGCTCTGCAAGGAACCCCCAGAGCATCTCCAGAGAGGTGCAAGGCACTTGGCCCAAGGCACTGCTCTGTCTGCTGGGGATGCCTACAGAGGATCCTGAGCTGGAGACCAGCAGAGAAGCAAGCAAAGCTGGGGATCACTGCAGCTGGCCCAGCACAGGGCAATAGCTGGCAAAGCATTTGTGCTCCCCTCCTACGGCCACCCCAGTGCCCCAGGCTACAGTACCTGTCTGTGCTCTTCTCGACAACGTGGCTAATGGTAGGTGATGCTGTGATCCTGGCTTGCACCTTCTGAGAAATTCTGGATGTCATGGGAATCACATGTGACTTGGGGGACACACGCTGCAGAGCTGAGGAACCACCTCCGAGCACAGCAGTGCTGCCGCGATGGCCGTGCCCGCACTGGCCTGGGAAAAGTGCTTGCCTGCACCTTGTACGTGACTGCTCTATATGATTGTGGCAGGATGCCCACCACCCAGCCTGGCCCCCGGACCAGCTCTATATCTGGCTCCAGAGGGCTGTTGGGCCAGAAGCCAGGACAGATACTCAATAAGGAAGCCAGCAGAGAGGCTAACTGGGTTATAATTGGAGAGCAAGAGCTCAGGTATCAAGCACAGCAGGCTATTCTGGACTGAGAGGCACCCCCAGGGGCAGGGGGCAGGAAGTGTGCCAAGAAACTCACGCCTCCACTAGCACCTGGTCTGTCCTGCTGGCCTTGTGGCAGGGCCCGGAAAGGGCTCTCCACAAAGTCTACAGCTGTGTCACCCTGCTCTTAACCCTCACCTGCCCAAAGAAGCAGCCGTCTGCCTTCTCCTGACAGCTGCCCGTGGGGTGCTGGGGCTGCCCGTCACTGTCCTCTGCGGAGCTGACCCGCATCAGCTCCACGGCCGGCACCAGGACCTGCTCTTGCTCCTGGCCTTGTGCCCCGGAGGCTGTGGTGTGCGTTGGGAGCAGCCTTCGGGTGACCCCCTCCTGCCAGGAGCCCGCTGTCAGGTCCTGTAGGCAGGAGATAAAGGAGCCTTCTGCATTCCAGTCCCTCAGCCTGGGCACCGAGAGGGACAGGGAGAGAGAGACAGAGAGAGAGAGGCTGTCAGCTTTGCCATGGAGTGCTGCATCCCGAGCACTAGCTGAGCTCCGGCGGGGGCGCCTGCACAGCCTGCAGCCCACCGGGTGCTGCCGGGCGCCGAGCACAAGCAGCACACGACACAGATGCACAAAGGGCTCAGGCCTCCTCCCTGCCATGCTCCCTGCCCACCCCACAGTCTCACGGGCTGGCTGCCAGGGTCTAAGGCAATGCTGTGGAGCATTGCTGGGCTCTGCCATGAACCTCAAGGGACCGGAGCCCTGGGAATGTGGGAGGACGCAGCCCAGGCTGAGGTGGCTCAGGTGAGCACAACCTACATGCAGGGCCTGGCTGTCTGCCTGGGGTCACTCCCAGATGCTCTGCAAGGAACCCCCAGAGCATCTCCAGAGAGGTGCAAGGCACTTGGCCCAAGGCACTGCTCTGTCTGCTGGGGATGCCTACAGAGGATCCTGAGCTGGAGACCAGCAGAGAAGCAAGCAAAGCTGGGGATCACTGCAGCTGGCCCAGCACAGGGCAATAGCTGGCAAAGCATTTGTGCTCCCCTCCTACGGCCACCCCAGTGCCCCAGGCTACAGTACCTGTCTGTGCTCTTCTCGACAACGTGGCTAATGGTAGGTGATGCTGTGATCCTGGCTTGCACCTTCTGCTGAACTGAAACAAAAGAGACTTCACTCTCCGGGTCCTGCTCCCCAGTGCCTGGCTGGCGATCACTGGCTGGCATTTTCCCCTCTGGCCTCTGCCCCTCCTCCTGCTCTAGAAGGTCAATCAGGCCATTCATGGCATCTGAGTCCACTGTGTCATCCTCAACCAGGTCCATAGAACCCATGTGGTCTGGGCCATGCGCATCTGCTAGAAGCTGCCCTGGGAACCGGCCTTCACTTGTGGCATCCGAGTCCTCAGCCTTGCTGCACTCCAGAGAGGAGTCCTCAGCAGTCACCAGCGAGGGGGTGAGCCCTGAGGACCACACCTGCATGTCGGACATCTCCATCAGGGCGTCCTGCTCAGTGGCAGCCATGGGGATAGCATCCATGATGGCCACCTCATTCCAGTACTGGTCGGCACGCAGCGGGGATGGCAGCGTGTAATGCAGGGAGGCAGGGGACAGCAGCTCGTCCTGCAGCGAAGCGTAACCTACATGGGCAGACAGAGGCAACATCTCCAGCAGCCATCTCAGGCACGCACAAGCGCAGTGGGGCAAGAAGGGCAGCAGTGTCTGGGAGAGGGTCTGCCCTGAGGACAGCAATGATCATGCCACAGACCCAATGGTGTGGCTGAGCTGGGCTGCACCTGCAGCAGCTGCTGCGTCTGCACTGTCCCTGCAAGTGCTGCCATGTCTCCCTCTGAGTTCTGGGGCTAGTCTGGGCCAGCCCTGGGGCTGCCTGCTTCCTGCAGGGAGGACTGGCCTGAGGTCCACGTGATGCCCTATCCACACTGCAGGACACAGTGCCCCCTTTGCTACGCTGCTCCATCAGCTCCTGGGTCCCTGCCCACAGCCCCTGTCCAGCATCAGCTGGCTGACAGCCAGGAGTTCAGGTGGCCAAGTCTCACAAGCACTGATTCCCAAAGTCAGCCCCTCTCTGTAGGACTGAGAGGCAGACTGGAAGTGGTACCATGAGCAGGGAAGGATGACCCTGGTACATGTCATGCAACCCTGAGGCCCTGCAGCATGCAGCCAGGGCCCTACCATCCTGTTGGTGTCTCCAGGGCTACAAGCAGTCATCATCACTGCGGGCCACATGCGCAGCCCAGGCACACTGACACAGATGACAGTCAAGCACTTCCACCCACGCAGGTGGCTTTGCTCAGCTTTTTTTCAGCTCTGGGCAGCTAGTTCCTTTTCCACCCCCAGAGATCAGCAGAGAACCCATTCTGTTCCTCAGGCAGCCAATGATTTTTGGCCACAGCCGAGGCATGGGGGACAGCTGGGACTCCCAGCACAGAAAGGGCACCTCTCCTGTGCAGGTTCCTGGCCAGGGCAAGCAGTGCAGGGCCAGAGAGGGAGGGAGAGCAGGGCAGGGTAGGAGGAGAAGGCCTAGGACAGCTGCCTGCAAGCATGACAGCCGTGAGAGGGGACAGTCCCTGGTGACATGCAGTCGCTGGAGCAGGACGTGGCTCCTGGAGGGCTCAGCTGAGGTGGAGACAGTGGAGACAGGCAGTGGAGGAAGATGAGAGGAGAGGCCAAGATGAGCTCAGAGAACAGATGTGACAAGAAGTGACCCACAGGAGTGCCCGCACCTGACAGCACTAGGTGGCATGTTTGAGAGAGCAGAACAAGGGGAGAGACAGAGAGGGAGAGAGCGATGAGCCAGTGCTGCACATAGCCTTGTCCCTGCCCGGTGCATTGCAGCTGACCCTCGTGTGTCCGCGCACCCAGGCACACGCTGCCTGGGACCCAGCCAGGTGCATGGCCACAGCTGGACAGCCAGGGCTCTGGGAGCTCCGTGGCCACCACTCAGCTAGCAGAGCCACAGGCACCTCTCATGGGCATGTCAGGATGAGGAATGTGTGTCCACCCCACCTGGAGAAGGCAGCATAGCAGGGCTAAACTTCCTGCAGCATAAGCCCCAGTCAAGAGGCTGCATCTGTCAGCAATGCCTTGTGCCCACTGAGCTCGTGGTCAGCCACCGGTGCATCCTGGGTGGGCAAGATATCAGCCCAAATCTGTCTGCATGGCCTCTGCCCCTGGGGCCCTCCTGCAGCCCCTGCCAGAAAGCCAGGACTCACCATTCATCTGGGATGGCGAGAGAGAGTAGTCCCTGTCCTGGTACCTCCAGCTGCCCTTCAGGCTGCGGCTCTGCCGGCCAGAGCCCTCCAGCATCTGGACAATCTCACCACGGTCGATGTTCCTCAGTGCTGTGTACAGACTCTCCACTGCAGGGAAAAGCCAGTGTCAGCAAATTGGTCACTGGCAGAACACAGCCATGCCCGGACACCCTTCTGGTGGGCAGGCCTGTGTGAACCAGCAGCGTAAAGCCAGCCAGTGACCCCAGAGGTGTGCACTGCCAGCCCTGTCACCTCCACACTTGTAAAAGGCACCACTGATACTCACTCTTGGCATTCTTGCCCTCGCGGCTGACCCAGAGGTTGAGCAAGGCCATGCTCTGCTCCAGCAGGGAGTTGGGGTTCTCCACACGTATTCTGTTGATGTCCTCCACCCCAAACTGCAGCTCACGTGCCAACTCTGGGGGAGACACCACATCTCAGCATCACACATCAGCACCCACCGCCAGCTCCTGTGCCAAAAAGGCTAAGGCTGTTGTGAAAGGCTAAGCCAGTCCTACAGAGGGCCCTGTGTCACACAGAGCTAATTATGGCAGAACAGGAAGGAGCTGGGACAGCTCCAGGCTGGCTGTGACGAGCACAGCAGTGTCTCTTGCTAAGGAAAAGCAGCATGTTTCCAGCCTTCCCGAGCGTCAGCTCTCCGAGGAGCACTGTGCATCCTCAGAACCAACAGGTGTGGACTCACCAGCCCAGCTGAGGCCCAGCTGTTCTGCTATGTCGACCATCTTCTGGTCTGCCTTGTCCACGCTGCTCAGGGAACCTGGAGGAAAAGAGGGAGTCACTGCTTCAGCTGCAGAGGGCCCTGCACTGGGGTGGGGAGGGGAAAGGGGTGCTGGCTGTGGAGGTATCGCAGCTCTGTAGGCAAAGCACTGCTCTGCAGGCAGGACTAAAGAAACCCTCAGGGAAAAGGAAATTGTTATGAAAGCAAGTACAAAAGGGTCAGCCTGGCCTTTCCAGCAGGATTGGGCACCCCAAGCAGAGGAGGTGAGTGGGTTTGAGCAGTCCCAGCAGGCTGCATACCAAAACTGGTCTCACTTAGGATGCTGTATCGCTCCCGCAGAGACAATGGCGTCAGTGTCCTCCTCCGCTCCTCACTGCCGCTTCCCTGTGAGAGTGGGGGCAAACAAAAGGGTCACCAGCTTGAAAAGAGGGCAGCAGCTCTGCCCTGGCACCATTGCTTCTCCCACAGCCCCAGAGTGACATGGCATGGCTGTGGGGAGCAGCTGAGGAAGAAATGCTGGCAGCAGGGGCTGTCACCTGGGGATTGGCCCCCACTGCCCCTCCCAGAGCACTGACCTTGGTGCAGGGTGGTATGCTGATGTTCAGGTGGCAGAGCACGTGCTGGAGGTCCTCATATTTCATGGCCTTGCGCAAGAAGGACAGGGAGCCGCTGGCTTCCCGGCTGCTGTCCCGAACCTGAGCACCGAGAGCCTGGTTAGGTGGCCCAGAACAGGGCAGGCACAGAGTCCCCAGCTGCAGCCCAGCCCTGCACCTGCCATTACCTTGATGGGGATGGCAAGACGATTCTCCCGGAAGGACTGGAAGAGGAAGGTGCGGGGCTGAGTGGCCTTCTTGACAGGCACCAAGTTCCCTGAGAGCTCGACATGCAAAGGCATCCCCTCTACCACCTGGTAGGGAACAGAAAACAGGCTCAGACTCTGTGTTGAGCTACTTCTGCTGCCCTGGACAGAGCAGGTAATCTTAGCTCTCCTCCATGGGCCCAACCATTAGCGTCAGTCTCCCCTGGCTTGGGCAGCCCTCTCCCTGCTGCCCCACCATGCACACCACTGGGAACAAACCTCAATGTCCCTGCTGCGGGCCACCTCAGTGAAGTTTTCATGCTGCTCTAAAGTCTTGTCAACCTTGTCATCAGTCATGCAGTAGCAGCGCAGCCGGCCTTCCCGTGCATCATTCATCTTAGCAAACACTACGAATTTGGCCATGTAGGGCACGGCTGTCAGCTCCTTGTACAGCAGGGTGGCAAAGTGCACGGCCTCGGCTGTGCGCGGGCAGTCGGCCAGCCAGAACCTGTGGGACAGCTGGGTCAGGGCACTGTCAGGCTGGTTCCCCAAGAGACCCAGGAGAGCTGCCACCCCCCTCAACAGCAAACTGCACCACAGAGGGTGCCCAAAGTGCTCTGGGTGCTGGAGAACCCCCATCTGCGATGAGAACACACCCAAGCTAAAAGAATAGTGCCTTCCCTCTGCACACCCGGCTTTCAAGAGTGTTTTCTGACATGTGCCGAGGCAGCATGGGGGTCTCAAGGCTGGAGACAACTGCTCTGAGTGTGGGAATGGGGCAGCACCACAAGGAGTACAGGGGCAAGACACTCCTCCTGACACAAGCCGTGCTGCAGGAGGCCTCAAGGAGCACCAGACATCCCTAGATGAGCACCTGCTCACCCAGGACTCACCTGGCAGACACATTGGTAGTAAAGTTAGCACACTCATTTTCATAGATCAGCTTTGTGGTGCCTGTTATGTCTTCCCACTGGGCTTGGGCTGTCCCTCCTGCAGCAGAAATCAAGGGTAAGCACATTGCCTTTCCATAAGCCTGGGGAGTGTATGCTCCAAGTGTTTGCTCTATCCACCACCGTTAGCTGTCCTTAGCTCCCAGGAGCTGTGTCCCACCGAGGTGATCCAGCCCATCCCCACCTGAGAGCATGCTCGCCTATCTGCAGGAGTTGGCAGCCTCACCGATCACACTGCAGAGCAGGCGCAGGCTGGTGGTGTCACCCTCGCCGCTGTCTCGGGGATTGTCCTTCCAGGAAGGTGGCAGTGGGATGCGGAGGCCGATAGGGCGGTGGAACTTCCTCCGGCGCGGCTCCACCGTGACGATGGGGCTGAAGGTTGCCTGGTTCCCCAGCAGCTTCGTCACCAGCTCGTCAGGCACAGGCTGCGCCTGCGGGCAGCACACATGTGGGCATCAGGGCCAGTTCTCCTGTGCCTGCTGCCTACCTCTGCCTGCTGGAGCCCATCTGGGCCCAGGCCAGGCTCTCCAGGGCTCACCTGCAGGGCCAGCCTGACTTTCTTGGTGACAGCAGTGTCTGGGAAGGTGGCCTGAACCATGGGCACCAATGTGCTTTTCAAACACCCTCCCTCAGGCCCGATCAGATCACAGTCCTGGCAAATCCGGGACATAACCACGAAGTAGAGCGGGAAGTCGGTGGTGATGATGCGACAAACCCTCTTCTTCTCCAGCTCTTCCAGGCTCTCCAGCTCTGCAGGGGCAGCACAGCAACCAGTGCTCACATACCAGGCCAGTGGCTCCCCCCCCCCCACCACCCCCTCCAAGCTGCACAGACCACACTGTGCTCAGCTCCATCCCACCCCCTACCCACTGCAGCCCCGTGTGGTGATGAGCCCCAGCAGCCTGGCATGCTCACCCTCATCCATGCCATTGAGCAGCTGGTCCATGTAGGTCTCCTCGTAGCGGTTGCGGTGCTCCTTCCACACAGAGCCGTTCTCACTGCGCAACACAACCAGCTCGCGGTCCCCACGCCCATACGAGGCAAAGTGTGGGATCTCCACAACGACAGGGCTGCAGACAGCAGAGGAAAGATGCTTGTACTCACCCTGCTGGCCAGGGCTTTTCCTACCACAGCATGGCCACTGCTCCGTTACGCTGGAATGAGCCATCCCAAGAACACACTGCACCTGGCCAGAAGTGGGATGTCCCACCACCAGACCCCCAAAAGCATCCGTGGGCAGAGGTCTTGCCCCAGCTGGCAGAGACTCCAGAGGAGCCCTGATCTGATTCTTCATCAACGACCTGGATGAGGGTATAGAATGTACCCTCAGCAAGTTTGCTGATGACGCTAAGCTGGGAGGAGTGGCTGACACACCAGAAGGCTGTGCTGCCATTCAGAGAGACTTAGATAGGCTGGAGAGTTGGGCGGGGAGAAACATGATGAAATCCAACAAGGGGAAGTGCAGAGTTTTACATTTGGGGAAGAACAACCCCATGTCCCAGTACAGGTTGGGGGCTGAACTGCTGGAGAGTAGTGTAGGTGAAAGAGACCTGGGGGTCCTGGTAGACAGGAGGATGACCATGAGCCAGCAATGTGCCCTTGTGGCCAAGAAGGCCAATGGCATCCTGGGGTGCATTAGAAAGGGTGTGGTTAGTAGGTCAAGAGAGGTTCTCCTCCCCCTCTATTCTGCATTGGTGAGGCCACATCTGGAGTATTGTGCCCAGTTCTGGGCCCCTCAGTTCAAAAAGGACAGGGAACTGCTCGAAAGAGTCCAGCGCAGAGCTACGAAGATGATTAGGGGAGTGGAACATCTCCCTTATGAGGAAAGGCTGAGGGAGCTGGGTCTCTTTAGCTTGGAGAAAAGGAGACTGAGGGGTGACCTCATCAATGTTTACAAATATGTAAGGGGTGAGTGTCAGGGAGATGGAGTTAGGCTTTTCTCAGTGATGACCAGTGATAGGACAAGGGGTAATGGGTGTAAATTGGAGCATAGGAGGTTCAAGGTGAATATCCGAAAAAATTTTTTTACTGTAAGAGTGACAGAGCACTGGAACAGACTGCCCAGGGAGGTTGTGGAGTCTCCCTCACTGGAGACATTCAAAACCCACCTGGATGAGTTCCTGTGTGATGTACTCTAGGTGACCCTGCTCTGGCAGGGGGGTTGGACTAGATGATCTCTCGAGGTCCCTTCCAGCCCCTAAGATTCGATGATTCTATGATCTGTCCCCAGTCCTGAGGTACAACCCTGGTGTGGGCAACCCCATCTAGTCTGCTCATAGCTGTACTCACCTGAGGAACTGGGCACCAGCGGGCCCCAGGGCGATGATCCTGCTGGCCAGACCCTCCTCCTCAGCCAGCGGGGGTGGTGCAGGCAGCTTCTGGGGCTTCACCAGGCGGCAGGTGATGCGGGTCGGCGCGGCGCAGGCGCGGGGGGGGGTGGCC